ACTCTGGCCCGAATGTAAACAAATGGTCGGATCGAGCCGTGACGTCACGGAGCTTGTTCCGTCCATTTGTTGACATTCTGGGAGGTTTTCCCCTTTATTTCTGTTCTGGATTTTCCCCCATTTATGGTCCCAGTGATATTGGTCAACAGGACAGAGTGAGAGAGTGAATCTCCCTAACGTAGATGAAGACAGGAATTAAAACTGGGCAGGGGCTCTGAACCTTTCCTACAAAATCCAAAACTCAAAAAAAGTTTTGGTTATACATACAATTTTAGTGATAAGCAAATGTAAAACCAAACTTGGCCCCAGGCTCTCCCGAACTCATTTACCATAACAAGCAGCCTACTTGATCAATAATAGGGCTCAAAAGGTGGGATAAGGAGGGTCATGCTCAATTTTATGGGGAAATACAAGATTTGCATATAATCTAATCTTAATCTGCTGACGGATATTTATATATACAGTAGGTATTTGTTATAAATATACCCTCCGCTTATGTAATTGTCATCATATGCTCAGTTTAAATTGCTTAGGTGACACTGATTAGTTTTAGCGCTTAGTTCAATGCTGAACTCCCGTTGGATAGTATTTCTTTCTCATAATCACTAAAATTGGCAATAGTATCTGTTTTGCATAATTCTAAAATTGTACAATACATATTTCTAAAAGAATGAAGCACGTCTTATTTTTTCAGAAGCACAGCTGGACAGTAACAATGTCCCGGTGTTTTCATCAGTTATATCATACACTGATGACATTTATTCTCTGGAATTGTGCTTCAACTTATTTCTGTTTTGGGAATCATCTGGGGATCTCATAATAACCTCCGCCATATGGAGAGGTATACTGGGTATTCGACAATACCGGTTAAACAACTCTAGGCAAGCTGCTAAATACACTAAATACACTACCATCAAATAGTTGGAAAACACACACAGTAAGTAAGTTTTTGTGATCCAGAGACCACCAGCTGACAGCTTTTTCTTCCTCCCCAGATCGCACGTCCCTGGTGGGGAGCGAAGGCTGGCTTTGTAGATCGATCCAAGAAGAGCTACTGTATCTCAGATTGCTGAAAAAGTTACTGCTGGCTCCGATAGAAAGGTGTCTGAACACACAGCGCATCGCAGTTTGTTGTGTATGGGGCCGGGTAGCCACAGACTGGTCAGGGTCCCCATGCTGACACATGTCCACCAACAAAAGCACCTACAATGGGCATTTGAGCTTTAGAACTGGACCACAGACCAATGGAAGGAGGTGGCCTGGTCTGATGAATCACGTTTCTCTTACATGATGTGGATGGCCGGGTACGTGTGTGTCACTTTCCTGGGGAAGAGATGGCACCAGAATGCACTATAGGAAGAAGGCAAGCCAGCAGAGGCGGTGTGATGCTTCAGGTAATGTTCTGCTGGGAAACCTTGGGTCTTGGCATTCATGTGGATGTTACTTTGACATATACCACCTACCTTAACATTGTTGCTCACCAGGTTTACCACTTATTGGAAATGGTATTCCCCCGATGGCAGTGGCCTCTTTCATCAGGATAATGTGCCCTGCCACACTGCAAAAATGGTTCAAGAATAATTTGAGGAACACAATGAGTTTGAGGTGTTCACTTGGCCTCCAAATTCTCCAATCAAACATATGTGGGGTGTGTTGTAAAAACAAGTCTGATCCATGAAGGCTCCACCTCACAACTTTCTGGACATAAAGGATCTGCTACTGACGGCTTGGTGCCAGATACCACAGCATACCTTTAGAGGTTTAGTAGAGCCCATGCCTCAACAGGTCAGGGTGGAAAAAGGGGGACCTACTTAATATTAGGCTGGTCGTAATATTGTGGCTGGTTGGTATCTGATTCTATAGAGAAATACATATTTATTTTTAGTTTTTGACCATAAATGCTTATTAATCCTTAAACCCAAAAAACAAACATTTCATATATTGCATCTTATTATCTAATCACCATATGGTTATTATGAGCAATGGTTATATTTGTTCCTTCAAGTTTTTTTTTTAATCAGCTATAAAGCTGAATATCAACTCACTGGTCTACTGTCAGTTCTACAACAATTACCATACAAATTCTACATCATCACATCAGGACACATTTTTTGTAAAAATAGTTTATTTCATCTTGAAATTCATACTAACTATACATCTTACATCAGAGAGATTTTAAAAAATTACAAGTGAAAGTTAACCGTATTTGATGATCTAAATATTCATTAAATAGCTTATCTCAAATATAGCATTAACATTCCACATCTTTTAATTTGAATACTGGAATTACGGCATCTATGGCTTTTCATTCATTAGCTAATATGCAGCATTTCAACACATTCATACGCTCAACATTTATTGACCATAAAGATTGTTCTACAAAATGAGTGTACCAATAAAATTCCCCAATATATTATTATACAGTTCTTACATTGAGCTCAGCACAGTTATATATTAGGTAACAAACATTTTAGATGCTCTGTAACTGACTTACTACAGTCACTAAACCTTCTCTGTGTGTGTAAATGAGTTCCTCATACAATTAACAGTTCATTCTAAATTTCTTCAACTATAATAAACACTTCTGTCTATTACAGGCATATTTGTGAACTTTAATTTTAATAATTTGAGTGTCTACACAATCATGCCTTGTTGCTCTCCCTTGTGGTGACAGATGCATCTCTTTCTTTACATGGGGGCTGTTTAATTTGTATAGACAATCATTTGGTACGTGGTGCAGGACACAACCATGCAGGAACAATGCTCTGCATTTGGAACACATGTGGGTATAGTCTATAAGCAGCCCATGTTAAAAGCAGGGCATCTAATAAATGCAGCCATAAGGCATTCACCAAGCATCAACAAACACATCTTTTAATACAAGCACAAACTTATAATTGTTCAGATACCCTTTGAAGGGAACCTGTGGCTAGAATATAGACATTCATGTGTTTAGATATTCTTAACAAGCACTAAGTGAGCTTTAAAACAAGCCCTAACTGACCTCTGTAGCTGCAAGCACTGTGGGGAAATTAATGCTCACAGCAGAGGCACTGAAGTCATTTACTTCATGCTTTAAAGCAGATGCGTTCACCCTTCTCCTTCTCCCCTCCTCCAAGAGCTCATGCTCTGTGCTTACAGAAGAGAGTAGAAAGCTGGATAGTCACTTCTAGGAGAGAGGAGCTGAGAATATGTGAACGCTTGAGTGCCCATAGCCTGGCCACAGGTTCACTTTATGACAGGCAGCTAGGTTTCCTCAAAAGACTTGAAATAAAAATTACATTACAGCTGCTAAAATGATTTCAATTTCAAAGAAACATGTGTCTATCTTGATACACAAATAAGACATTGTAGTCCATATAGTTATAAATAACATATATTACATTTGTTTTCATTATGTTGGGTTATAAATAGTACAACACTGTGTTCTTATTGAATTTACACAAAAGAAATTACAAGCTATATACAAATATTTGATCTATATTAGTGTTAGTTCTCCTTCCAATAAGCTTTTGTGTGTTTATAAGTATTACTGTAAAAGAAGGCCCAAATATACTAAGTTTAGTGCTAACTTTACATATTTAAATGTTGAACCCTTTGGATTACACCCAGTGTGACAGTATCCATACAAAGAAGGCTTGGTAATGGTACATGGTAATGTGTAATGATATGTAATGATACACATCACTTACTTAGACCTCCCACAGCACATATTAGAAAGTAAATCTGAAAGTAGAAATTACAACTGAACTTGCATAGTACTTAAGGTGCCAGGTTTATATTTTTCCATAAGGCAAATAAAACAGTTACTGCAGAGTTAGGCTGATGTCAGATGGACGATTTGTGCACAGCAATTCCCCCTTTTTTAGTTTTTTTTCATCTTTATGACTTAGCTACAAATTGTTAAAGTAGAGCGATTTGTAGCAGAGCATAGCCCAATGCTGTAACACTGGTTCAAACAAATGGCCTATGCCTCTAGCAGTTAAATTGCTAGCTGCACATCGTTGTTCATCGCTGGCATTAGCAATTTGTAGTAATCATTCATCTCTGCTAAAAATCACCAATCTGACATCAGTGCTATTTTTTACATCTCTCTGACTAACTTATTGGGCAAATAGAATGTTCACTTTCCAAGAGAATTTTCTTTTAGCTTAGTGAATGGAGCAAAAATTGACTTTGCAAAGAATGCCCAATCATGTTCAAGGAAAAGAAAAAAACAGTATTTATAGGTAATAGATGATGGTGGGCAAAGCCTTCCCTTAAAAAGTGAACAGCCTATATGCCTTTACTAAATCAACCCCATTGACTTATTACAAACACAGGATAAATAGACATACAACTTCATTAAGTAGAACAAGCTTTGGCAAATAGTATATAACATGTAACCAGTGTATTAAGCATTGACTCCTGTTCTTCAAATCACATACAACTGGGTGCATTCAACAATTGAGATCAGTGATAAACATTGGACCACACTAAAAAGTCAAAGTTCATGGTAAACCTCCAGCTGAGTGGTAACCATGTTTTTATAAAGACATTGTTGCAAGGCAGGTTTTTTTTGCTTGAGCTATGATGAATTATGTATCCACTGAATATTGGTATGGATGTGGCTTATCTGTAGTCAGGAATAAAAATTAAATGTCAATAACATTCAAAACTCGGCATATGCCATTATTATCATATATGAATTTCCATAGAACCCAGTACAGCTCCATCAGCGATGATCCAGCTGTGGCTGGTTATAAATCCATACTGGTGTTAACAACTGTAGATCTGTTTCCAGACTTGGCATTGATAGAAGGGGTACACACATACTGCCAGCCTTCCTAGTCTTCAGGAAATCTAGACCCTCCGTGCACAGATATGACACCAATGATTCATAGCCTGCTTCTGTAACAGTATAAAATAATACTTTTGAGGCTGAGCCATTCGAGCCATTCGTGCACAGATATGACACCAATGATTCATAGCCTGCTTCTGTAACAGTATAAAATAATACTTTTGAGGCTGAGCCATTCATAAGTCGGTGCTGAAACATCCAGGGGTCTTAGTTCTGTGTATTACTGAAATACTGTCCTTCAATGGTGCTCTTGCAGAGTAGATCTCCATATTTTCAGTCTCTATTAGTGCATTGTGTGTGACGTTAACAGTTCTAATCGTCTATACCTCAGTGCTCAGTTGAATAACAGCTTGGTGTGGGTTTTTTTCCATGTAGCAGATATCAGGTGGACTTTCCCTTTTTAGAAGCTGTGTTTTTTCATTAGTGTCATGGGCAGGTTCTGTGTCATCTGAGTGGTATCCAGACTGGTAATCACTGGTTTGGTTGGAGGATCCGGATGTGACTGATTCTTTGCTTTTACTTGGCATCAGAATGCTAAAATGAGTTACAAATACAATAATTGTAACTGCAGTTCAGGTTTTATAAACACTGTGCTATGACCAAAATTACTGGATCACATAACTGTGCAAAACCACTTTGTTTTACAGAGTGGTAAGAACATAGCAAACCGTGTGGGGCTATCTGTGACAGCATTACTACAGAAGTAAATACAGCTTGTTCAGGTAAACTTATCACAGTTAAGTCAGCCATACACTGGCCATTCTTAGTGCCTGTAGATGACATGAACCACTAATGATGCTTAACAGATTTGTTGTGGTGCGCAGATCCTGAGTGGTTAGGTGCCAAACCTTGTAAGTATAAATGATGAAAAAGAAAAAAAATATTTTAATATAAACATATTTTATTATAGTCTGTACAAAAAAATCATTATTTTAAAAAAACAGTAAATCAATTTTTTGTACGGACTATAATAAAATATTTTTATATTAAAATATTTTTTTCTGGAGTTTATTGGTCTTGTCGACTTCTGCCAAAAACTTTTTTCTTTCTTTTTCATCATTTACACTAGTGATGCCGTACGTGGTACATTACTAGGTTTATGTGCAGAACTGCTCATTGGGACAATATATTCTCTTTTAATCAACAAATGAGAGAGGCATCGGACTTGACTGCACATCACTATAGATCACTATAGACCAGGGGTGAGCAACTCGAACAGTCCAGCTGTTGTGGAACTACAAGTCCCAGGAGGCATTGCAAGACAGACAGTTACAGGCATGACTCCCAGAGGCAGAGGCATGTTGGGATTTGTAGTTAAAATACTGCTGAAGGGCCCGAGTTGCCCACCCCTGCTAATAGTAGTCCAAAACCTACCAAAATAAATTTCCACTTTATTATTTTAGTTCCTGCTTGTCATATTTACAACAATACTTGTGGGCCATAAAAATATAGAATTTGACCAAAAGTATAGATTTCAATAAAATATGGGTCACAAATTGTTAACAGACACCATCTGGGTCAGGTATTCATGACCTCCAGACTTATGTTAGCCATACACAGCCTTATCTCTCACTGAGAATAGGGAGTAGACAGAGAACTGACTTTACGCTACTGCAGCCCAATTTCTCCCTTATCTATGAAAAAACAGTAATAATCACAAAACAATTTTTTAAGCTGATTTTGATCTATGTCTATTGTCTAGAAAGTTAAAGGTTCAGTCAATCAAAAGTGATATTTTAGCCATCGCTGGATCCTGGTGGGCTAAGTGAGGCCCTGGAGTATTAAAAAGCCTAGATACTGCAGTGAAATCTTCCTGTAATAATTCCTGACTCTGTCCACTTGGGATATTTGGGTATTCTTGTACACCTTTGCTTGTTTCAGCACCTCCTGTTATATTCTCTAACAAAACAGCCAACAGGGACAGCAGGAGTCAATATGGGAATATCAGGTATGGCAAATAGAGTACCTGAGAGATATAAGAATAAGAGAGGCGGTTTAACACTATAACAACTACCAAAAAATAGGTGGACAGACATAGTAATCCCTACATTTATCAGGGATGTTAAACTGGCTCCAATTCCTGAGAGTGAATGGACACCATTATGGCTAGAATTATAAAGCCTTACACCCACTAAAACTATATATATATATATATAGAGAGGAAAAAGCACAGCAACTTTAAGTATCTTTAAAAGAAAATGTTATTTTTTTCACCTGTTAAACCTGTACTGGGTAAATAAAAAAAAAAGATTGACTGTTATGGGGCTTGTTCCATTGTTGTAGCAATTTACAATGCACAGTTATGGACAATCACAGTATATTTGCAGTGTATTCACATTGCATTCTAGGTGATGTAATTATGATGTAGTTATTGATCATTTTCATTCATTGGTGTTAAGTAAGATTTTTTTTCCTGTTGCCTAGTATCCACCAATCAGATTCATATTAAAATTAGATTTCTTTTACCTAAATAACTGGGTTTCTTGTTGTGTGTTCTCCAGTTTTCTCAACTCTTCTGATGCAAGTATCATCCCACTATCTGTTTGGTTGTCCTAAAAATGAACACAGGTTTAATACACGGTGGACAGTTCAAAAATATTGTAATATAATAATCAGCCGGCAGCCAATGAAATGATGCTTACATCAGGGGCTACTCTCACTGAGGACTCCACAGGGATATCCTCAAATGTCTTCACGCTGACAGGCCGGCTATTTCTCCTCGTGTTTTGGATTAACCTGTAGTCAATGAACAATATTAGATATATTTAATTAAAAGATTTCTTAGAATTTAAAGCAAACAAACTATCTGAACACAAAAACCTGATCTTCATACTGACTCCCAAAGTATTAAAGCCATTAGATCATCATGACAGGAAGGGACCAACGTTTCCAAAAAAAGAGTTCAGCAAAAGCAGCCAACATAGTACAAGTGTTGTTTAAAGCTCAACTACAGCTATTTTTTAGTTTTTATTTCAGGGTTTTTTTTTTGTCTGTGATCCCACTGGGGAGATTTCCCATCACTTACTATCACTGTGACACCCTTACTAGAAATAAAAAAGAAAAAAAACTTTTGTCACCAGAACAGAAAGGCAAAGACAGCATTTAAAACATTGGTGGAATTTCAAACCCTTCTCCTCTCTACTAAAAATGTGTTCTTGTCTCATTGGAGGAAATCTCTCTAAATGGAACACAGATAATAAAAACCTGATAGAGGCTTTAACCGTTCCAAAAGTAAATACAATGTTTTGGCTGGAGTTGGGCTTTTCCATAATCTTTCTGTGACTTGTGAGTTTCTCATAAAAGCCAGGTCTCAGGTTTTATATGTTACCCCTTCCAAGCAAGAGTCAGCAATCAAGATCTTAAACTGATAAAAAAAATAATGCTCTGCAGTACATGTCATGTTTGTAGGATATACAGGTTAAATTTAGGTCAGTACCTTATTCCGGCTGCGTTGTCATAGTGGAATTTTGAATCACACATTTCCTCTTCTTCCATACAGGAAACAGGTGAGGTCGGCATTGAAAGCCCAGAGTCTTCTTCAATGTTCAAAGTCACTGTAAGTGGAACATAGTCTTTTCCATCCTCAGAGAAAAATAGAAACACATCTTATGAATGGTACATGGTCCAGTCCTATGTTCTAAACACGGTTAAATTACTTTTGTTAGGGCTATTAATTATTTTTTTGATTATGCTCAAAAATGTTGAAAACAAGAGAGAAAATATTTACCAACTGCACATTTGCTTGCAGCACATTTCCCAGATGCTCCACTAGTTCAGTAAATGTGGGTCTCTGTAAGGGATCTCCATGCCAGCAGTCCAGCATTGTCTGATATCTGGTATGACAAAATTAGGTCAGTAGGTGAAACACTTTTTCACTGTTAGGTCTAGTAGATGTTCCTTCTGCTGTGTAGATGACTTACATTTCCACAGTTGCATAATCCGGAGCTCTCATCCGTGTCCCCTCTTTTAATCTTCTACAGAAATCTTCATCAATCTGGACACCAGGATATGGAGATCCACCTAAAACAAAGATGTTAACCATTCGTCAAACTTGCTTTGAGACCATAACAAGGCTGCACTATTCTGGGCAACACATCACACCACAACACACAAAATATTTACATCTGTGAGCTGTTATGCAAAACAGTGTAGGTGTGTTTTCGTTTACTGTATATATGGGTTAGTTAGTGTACCTTAAATTAATGTAGCCTTAACATAGCCCTTTAAGGCTCAAATTTTGTCTGATTCATGCTGAAACATCTAAAATTCGAGCCATGGGTGGCCCTGTTGGCACCACTCGATTTGACGAAAGTTGACTGAAAAATCAAAGGAGCCAGGTGAAAAATTGTCAGCTGAACAGTGACTGCATTCACTCTGTTCTGAATGTGGGGAATGGGGAATTCATATCATTTTCTCTTCTTCAGCCTGGGCGGAAGAAGAGAAATCGACACGTGTATGGCAAACCTTAGTCTGTTTTTTACATTTCATATCTGTCACATTCTTTCACACCATGCTTAAAGGAGAACTATTGGGAGAGTAATATATACTCTACCCAATAGTTTGGGTCAGCGTGTGACACTGCAGCTGTCTTATGCTAGCTCTATAGCACGAGAACTGAACGATTTAATCGCACAGCTCATGGCTTCTCCCTGCAGAGAGAAATCTGCCAGTCACCGCTCCTCACAGGGATTCCCCCCTCCCCTCTCTCTGTTCTCCAGCACTCATTGGAGGGACAGTGGTTAGTAGCCCGCTATTTGCTAAGTTTGCGTCATAGGAGTATATTAGTATATGTACTCCTGTGACCCATAAGAGGAATAAATCCCCCCAAAAAGTTTGGCTTTAGTTCTCTTTTAACTTCACCTGTTGGATCTGCTGTGCCCTGTAAGTGTGAGATTTAATTAGATGTCTACTGAGAACAGTAGGAACAGGAGCCATTGAATGTGGTGATAAACCTACCCCCTTTCTAGGATAAATTACCAATTCACACAAAAAATTAGACTTTCAACAGTTAAATGCCCATTTCATGCAAAAAGGGTAATGATTCCATACCTAAGCAATTTTTATATAAGTAAATTCAAATTTTTAGTAAACTATTATTATGTTAAAAAATTATCAGAAACAATGGACAAAGTTAAAATAAATCATATATATATCTTCAATGAGCCTATAGTAAAGATTGCTGTTTTATCCATCTGTTGTTAGAACAATAGTTATACACTGCATTCTGGAAAACATGCAAAGGTAATAGCTCGTAAAGAGTGGAGTTCGAGAAGACTGACCTACAGCAGAAGGACTTAGCCACCATGGAGTAACTTCCCATATAATTGTATCATTTATAACTTATTTAAATTAGCCAATACAAAAACAAATATCTGTAAAGGACTACAAAATAAAATTATGTTTGTTAGACTATATCTAGCAACTTCTATGATGATATCATGATATTCTGTATCATGGCCAGATTAACATAAGGATTTCCTGTGCATTTATTTTTCTCCATGAATGCGGAAATAAATATGTGTGACTCACCTAATGAGAAGATTTCCCAGAGCAAGACCCCAAATGACCACACATCGCTTTGTGTTGTGTAGACTCTGTCAAAAATGGTTTCTGGCGCCATCCATTTGAGAGGAAGTCGAGCCTTTAGAAGGAAGTGGAACAGTTAAAACACAGAAAAACAAGATTACAACAGGAAAGTATATTATATAAATATGATATATCAGATCCTAGAACTCTAATTACTTACATCCCCCTTCCGTACATAATCTGGATCTTTATAGACATCACGTGCCAAGCCAAAGTCACAGATTTTGACCACATTATTGTCAGCCAGGAGTATATTACGAGCTGCCAAGTCCCGGTGAATGCACTGTAAAAACCACAATACATGGTATTAAACTACTTGTGTCTACAGCTTTCTTTTAAATTTTCATACAGTTGAAATTAAATTTAAAAAATCAAGTTATATTGTTTTGGCATGTATGAACAAAGATTCAAGTAAAGAATGTATTAAAAAATAATGCAGATTTAGCAGATACCTATGTGGCCACAGCATATTTTATATCAGTTTAAGGAAGACATTCATCTATACCTATTAAAGTATATGTAAAGCAAAAAATATTTTATATACAATAGGAAAGGATTAAAACCCTTGCCAGGTTTTTATTGCTGGCTGTGTTCCTGCAGTAGAGACTCTCCATTGACCATTGCCACCAGAATAAAGAATGAAGGTATATTCAAAATGTGGGAAATTGGGACACCTTTTCCGGTGACAATGGTCCCAGATGGCATTTCCTCTCACCTATGAGATATTTCCTCTCATTTCCTGCTGTGTCAAAAGTTAAAACATTTCCCCAATTGGACACAAAAATGATAAAGGTTTTAACTATCATCTTCTCTATCTAAAACTAAACAAAATGTTCTAGATTTAAATATGTTTTCTTTCCTTTAAGTTTAGGAGAAGGTAATAAGGCATCTTCAGTGTAGCACTTTAAGGACAGACCTAGACATACTTCCTGGAAATCTCAACACTGTTCATGATGCTGTACCTGTGAGAATTTTACGTTGGCCCTACCTTATATGGAACGTACCAGTAAAGACAGCAACAACCTGCAATACTGTATGCCTATATTTACATATAATTTGACTGCGTTCTGTTTCCCCTAAAGCTAAAATTTCTTTCCTAGTGGACTTCTGGAAAAATCAAAGCCAACTCTTTTTAGCAAAACGACTTGAACATCCTAACCGATGCAATATTATATTTGCATCTAGTTCTATAAGATTCAGATTAACACTGTAAGACAAATTTCTAATCACTTGTTTGCTTTAAGCTGTCAGAAAAAGAAGAACATACTTTACGTGAGGCCATATACTCCATGCCACGGGCCACCTGGAAGCTGTATGAGATGAGGTCCTCCATGCTTAGCTGGTTTTTACAAACCTCTTCAACTTAAAATAGAAAAAAAATTCAAATTAGAAATTGCAAGCCGATCCTATAGGTCTCTTATTTTGAAAAAAGGGGGGGAAAATGTCAATAGTGTTGTGCAAACTTTCAATTATCTTAAAGGTTGAGAACCCTGCCTCCTCTTCCCTTGAAGGAATTAATGTGTGTATTTTTTATACAGCTTGTGATGTGATGGGTTACAGAATATTTACATTAATGTGAAGGTTAAAAAATTAAATACGAAAGACTTTAAATGTCAACCAATATAAATGTAATCAAAAAAGAAATGTCCTACCTTCTTCTTCCTCCACATCACTCAGAGATTTCTCCTCTGCAAAACCAGAACTAGCTGAGCTCTGGCTGCTGGCAATACTATCCAGTCTCTTCTTCAGATCCCTGGGTGTTTCTACATAGTGCTGTTTGGCCTGTCTGTACCGCACAGACTTGGTCTGCAAAAGAGGAAAATATAAGTTTTTCAGTCAGTAGAGAGAGTAACTTACTGTTACTGAATAGTCAGCTACATTTCTATATTATAAACTTTCACTAAGAGCTTAGCATGTTGTTCAGAGCATATTCTATTACTATTTAGATAAGCAGAATATGGGGACACGGTGGCAGCTAAGTGGTAAGCAGCTAGCATGGAGTTTGAATGTTACCACTGTACATACTCTGGGTTTCTTCTACAATCCAAAAACGTAGTGACAAGTCAATTATCAAGAGGTTTCCCTTAGTCTAATGTCTATGTAAAATCACTGGCCAAGCAAGTTCACAGGTGCACACCAAACAGGGCCGGTACAATACACCAAAAACAACAAACAACTGCACAGAACTTCTTGTTATGCTTCAAATTTTATGCAGATTTACTGTACATTTGCTCGCTGTTCAGCCCATCCTCTTAAGCATTCTGCTCAGAGCAACTTAATGACTGATAGAAGGAGTTTGAGTTGGAGGTAATTTATAGCATTCTAGTCAATCAAATAATTCCTATAACAGTACAATCTCAAAAAACAGAGTAATAGGTGTTAACATTGTTAATATTTAACACTAATATGATCATATTTCTTTTAAAAATTATTATTAAGAAATAATAATAAAAAATACTCATATATACATATATGTAAACATATTAAAACACATGGCTTGATTTGGTTAAATGTTTTAGTGTTGAAGGAACAAATGCTCTTGTTGCTGATGTGTAGATACATCATTATGTGAAAACTGATACTGCAGCCCAGTGCTAAGACTGCATGTGCAATTTAAGTTTTTTTTATAATGTGTAACAACATTCTGTCTCTTGTCTGTGAGATCAGATGGCAGAGACAGGAAGGATGCCAAATAGCACTCCATCTACAGCAATTCAGTACAATAAGTTTAAAACACTTAGGAATGTAAACACATTTAATGATTAAAAGAACATATTGTGTGTTTCATGCATTTATAAATACCTTGTACAGAACAAAGTCATTCCTTTTATTTCTTAAATATGCAGAGAGGTTTCCAAAATGGCAGTATTCAACAATTACCATCAGTGGACCTGTAAGAAAAAAAAAGGAAACTCATTTTGTATGTGTATACCTCCAGTCTGCCCATCATTCACTTGTGTAAAATTGTAAAAATCTTTATTTAGACTGACAATCCCATCCCAACCACCAGTGTTAAAGTGCCATATTTCTGTGCCACATATGTGCTGCTCCAGACTATAAAAGATAAGACTCCCAAAAGAACAGAACAGATGTGGCTGACTTTAGTGGTGTTTCCTGCTGTGATCCAACCTAGCATAGGACATGTCCAATCATCAAATTAACATTTCAAAAATATTGACATTAAAATGGAGCTCCAGCCAAAATATTTATTCTTTGATTTGGATGGGGGGAAAGACTTTAAACCTCTGCCAGGATTTACTTCTGTCTCTCCATTTGGCAGAATTTCCCCCAATTCATTGTCCCAGTGATATCAGTAACTGAAAAAAATGTTTCCCTACTATGTGACCCCAAAGGCAAAAAACAAAAAAACACTGACAAAGGTTCTAACATTTCCCAATTGTATCCAAAAGGGTTCAGCAACAATTACACTTGAAACAAATAGTTCTCTACAGCAGACTTCTTAAAGACAAGTAGGTTGGCAGTGGCCCATTCAGTACTGAGAAGGGTTTAAAAAAACTAGGATCTAGTAGACAGAATGAAGAGTCCTTACCTCCTGGTTTGGTGCAGGCTCCAAGCAAGTTCACAACATTCAGGTGGTGACCAATGTGACTGAGGATTTTTAACTCTGACATCAATGCTCTGTATTCACTATCAGTGGCCCCCTCTGTTAAAAACAACAAACATATTGTCACAAGAATACAAAATATAAACCAATTTGTTAACATCAATGGTGGCCTTCAGATTTACCTTTCAGCATTTTCACTGCAACAGTTCTGCAAGTGCCAGTTTTATCGATTCCAAAGGCATCGGCTTCCATGACTTGCCCGAATGCTCCGCGGCCAAGAGGTTTCCCTGTGTGATGCAAGATATTACAAATGAGAATTCATTAAAAGGAAAGATTTCAGCCTTACAAAGTAAATGTTTTAGAAAGTAGTAAATCAAACAAATATTTAAATCTTGAGTAAAACTAGATTTAAATGCTGAATTGTTTGTATGGGGGATAGACTCATAGCTCTGAAATGGATAGCATTGCAGTATCGCTGTTTGTAGAACTCCGATCATGAATGTGAAATTAACAGTAGGGTTTATTTACTAAAGCAATAAGAAAATGTCAACTGTGCAAAGTGAATGTTTACTAAGCTTAGTAAATAAGATGAAGCTCTGATTGTTTTAATCCGCCAATTATGTGCTGGGAAAAACCCTATTAATTTCCCTTGCACATAGTTAGGTATTTAAGATAAAACATATCCAACTTATTTACTATTATTTACTTTCCAATGTGAACATATACTTTTCAAAGTTAGCATGTACTTTTCCAATAAATACACTTCATTTTTCAGGGCAAGTCAGGGCAAGTCATGTGAATGAAAATCTGCTAAATGTTACTGAAAACCATGGCACTTTGGATCATATTACATTAAACTCTATCTTATCAATCAAATGCAGTCACATTTGTAAATTTCCCTGTGTTATTATGTTCATTTTTTCCATGAGTTTTGATTTATGGTGGACATCAGAGTTTAAGTTTCTCAAGATTTATATGAATGAGTCACTATTTTCTACAAAATTGACATGCTGTGACTAGATAGTAGTATTAGTAGTAGTAGTAATAATAATTTTAATAATCATAATATTTTCCTACCACTGATAGACACATACCTAATTTAAGGCGATCTCTTGAAAACTCCCACTTTGGTGAGTCATAGAGTAGCCTTTCACACTGCTCATCAAGCGGTACTTCACTGGGGTCCATAATTATAGATAAATAGCCCGCCTTGAGTTCCCCTTCATTGGGCTGGAAACATATAACACATCTGGTCAACTTTCCATAACAGTGTAAAAAAAATGACAAAATAATGCCTCTTTGTGCCACTACTGTATAAGTCTGAAAAAGCAGAAATCAGCAGCGACACCATAGTTCAGTTCCACAGTCCCACACATTTCCCAAATCATGTTCACACGGATCATAATTCATTTTGTCCTTTATAACAAGAAAATAATGCCCAGGAATGTTTTCTTCATGGGCAATTGCAATTAAAAATAAATTAATACATCCTTAGTGAATCATGGAACAGTGTGATGGCATTGAATGAAAAAATGTGTCTGTTGACATAAGTACAATAGGAAGGACTTGAAACAAAAAGCTTGCAGTCAGTTTTCATTTGTCATGCCAGGCAAATACTAATGGACAGTAGATAATCTTGATTCATTACCCTCTTTACGGTCCGGAGGATGATTACAAGAAGCATCCAAAAGAACAAGGCAATCACACCAGTGCCAACCAGAATAATGAGCTCCAGATTTGTCTTCTCTTCAGAGTCTAGGGGGAAACAATTGGAAATTTGACAGTTTATGTCAGCTCTCTGTTTTAGGGTAGCTGTAAAGTCATCAAACACAGTCCATTAACTCTGAGCAAGGAGGATTACTGAGGAAAATGAGGCATACTGCTATGTTGGTTCAACAGAACATTTCTCTTGTTTGATGAGTTTAGCATTACATAGGGCTTACGTATAGTCTGACTTTAAATGTCTTAGTTCCAGTACTACACTTCAGTTCCATCCTATCTAGCAGGCCTCCCATCTGCTGGTATAACAACTAAAGAAAGACCAAATATCTAAAGCCAAGACATTTTTAGTTTTGGATAGAGCGGTGAAGTGTTATTGATTTAGCTCTACCTGTTGTCCCAGTGACAACTCTCTAAGAGAGGATTTCTCCCACTTTCCTTTTGCTACCTGTCCTGTCAACAGGATAGTATGTGAAAGGAGATCTCCTAATGTTGTTTAAACTTTAAACTCTTCTCTACCAAAATGTAATTTAAAAAAGTTTTGGCTTGAGAGATACTTTATGTACAAACATTGCCCCCTTGTACAAAGATTTGACACTTGTTGTATCCCCAAAGCTAGGCACACAATGGAGGGCAGAGGAAAGAAAGAAAGGGAATCAAGCTAGAGTAGATCAGCAATGTGACAGACTTTAAATATTATTTGCTGGTCAGATAGGAATAATTGATTGGTTGGGCTTAACTCTATGAGTTGAAAATAGATTTTGAGTATCTAATTACTCTCAATATAATAATTAGAAGTCTGTGTGTCTAAAGCTAGCCAACACTTTTTGCC